GCGTCAACGAGGACACCTACGACCCTTCCATGGAATGCGTGTCCTGCGCCTCCTGCACAACCAATGGCCTTGCACCAGCCGTCCGTGTCCTGCATGAGAAGTTCGGCATCAAGCGTGGCCTGATGACCACCTGCCACGCCATGACCGCCTCCCAGCCCACCGTGGACGGCACCTCCAAGAAGGACTGGCGCGGCGGCCGCGCCGGCCCTGGCAACATCATTCCCAGCTCCACGGGTGCGGCCAAGGCAGTGGCAAAGGTCATTCCGGATGTGAAGGGCAAGCTCACCGGCATGGCGCTGCGTGTGCCAACCATTGACGTGTCCGTGGTGGACCTCACAGTGGAGCTGGAGAAGGAGACCACCTACGAGGAGATTTGCGCCGAGATGAAGAAGCGCTCCGAGGGAGACATGAAGGGCTACCTGGGCTACACTGATGAGGCGCTGGTGTCCACGGACTTCGAGACCTGCCCGATCTCCTGCACTTTCGACTCCAAGGCCGGCATCATGCTCGACCCCACCTTCGTGAAGGTCGTGTGCTGGTATGACAACGAATCTGTGCTGATGTTACGGAACTTAAGACTTAAGTCGTTTGGCATAAAGCCGGAAATATGAAATAGATAGTACATGAAACGGCTTCCCCAGAATGGTAGCCCAAACCCTAAAACCTCCAACGGAACCCAGGAGTGGGGCTATTCCTGCCGTGTGGTGGACTTGATCAAGCACATGGCCAAGGAGGATGCCAAGGCGTAGGCTGCCCACCTGAGCTTAACTTATTTAAAGGTTAAGGAACAAAGAACAAAAATCGTTGCCAGCCTTCAAGGCTGAAATTTTCCCTTTGGGCTGCCGAAAGAAGCGGCAGGCCCACATAGACAAAAAAGCGTTTTACGGAACCCAACTTGCCCACGTGCTGGCTTAGAGGTGTCATGGGAGCGGATGCATTGGAAAACATGCTTTCCTTTACTGATCTTTAGTAGGCGGAAATGGAGACTACAACATTACTGAGGTTCACATGAGGCTTTCCTAAAATTAGGGATACCTTTTTGGGGCCCATAACAAGGACTATAGTATATTGTATTGGGGTCCCTATTTTTGGGAAACTACCACATGGGAGCTACTTTAGAGATCCATCCCTCCATGAGCCTCCGGCCCTTTTACCTATATTGTCCCCGTTAAGTAGATAGAATATCGGGTATATAGGGATGTTATTCTAATATGCCTAAAGCCATATTCTATCTACTTAAGAGGGGCTATAGTCTAGAATCAAACCGTTTTGGAACCTGGAAATCCCTCAAAGTGCAGCATAAACAAGTGAGTGCCTGGGAGATTGAGTACATGCCGCTGTGAATTAGTAACATTGTTACTATTCAAATCTGAAACCTTGCTCGAGTTAGGACCTTGACGTGCTTTCTGCCCAGCATGCCAGCAGTTCGCGTGTTTTTTCGGTTGCCCATTCAAGATGTTCAAGCATGTGCTCGTCTCAGACCGCTTTCACATGTATGCCATTCCCGCTGAAGCTACTACATGCAGATTTCCCTTAACATTGACTTCTGCCCAAATAGTACCCCATCGCAGGAGGGTATTGTGAGTAGTGAATCGAGTGGTGAGTTGGTGGACGTCAAAAAAAGCAAGAGGGGTGAACTCCACCAGCAGCCTTTTCGTTCGCACATGAGCGCTTGTCAAAGCCATGCCGCCAGACTTTGCGCACCCTGATTCCGATAGCCACCCACATGTTCGCAACCCTGGCTGATATTGGGGTAATATTGGGATGATATAGGGGTATTATGGGGATAGTCGAAAAGAAAATGGAAACTACTATATAGTTGTCTGGTAGAGGCGCTCCCCCTATCTTGCATAGCCAGGCAGCCTTACGTACGTTGAATCATGCTATAAGTGCTCCCCCCGCCCGCTGATAGTTGGATATTCTGGAGGAAGGAAGAAGATTACCATCATCCCTTGTGGTTCACTCTTCGTAGCACATGCGCGGCTTCCAGGGCTAGGTCATGTCTTAACCAAGACAGCGGGCAGCACAACAGCAAACGAATAGGGGGACCCCCAATATAAACACCGATATAATACAATCCTAGCTATGGGACCCCCAAAATGGTATCCTTAATATCAGGAACCGCCCTTATCTCACTAAAAAGGGCAACGTAGCAGTCTTCCCCCTTTGCAGGCTGCGAGTCTTTCGCCTCCAAAGCGGGTCAACACAGGCGAGCGCGGTCGAGTCAGCTTCGTTTCATAGGGTACCCTAAACCCTTTAGTCCCCCTTCAGTAGATAGAATATGGGGTATATGGGGATCTTATTAGAATATACCCAAAGCCATATTCTGTCTATTTAAGGGGGATTTTCACCCTAAACTCGGGCTTTCAGGGGTTGAGGGCTGAGGGTGTAATGTAGCGGCCCGAAGAATTTCCGACGACCATGCTATGAGATACCCGGAAGCCCTATCCGAAGCATTTAGCAGCCTACATTCTGAGGGTCAGGGACCCTAGCATGATGTATGCCTAAACCCTAAACCCTATGCACGGGGTTGGTCGCTGCAGAATGTTGAGATGCAGTAGCGGCTTGTAAAACCCCTGGCAAAGGTGGCTTGTCACTTGAAGCACGCGACGTCAGGGGATCTTCCTTTTCTGAAAGGAGTCGTGTCGGATTGGGTACCCTAAACCCTAAACCCAAAGGGAGTGATGTCGGATTGAGTATAGGGTTACATAACTCTACACCCAAAGCCCCAGCGAGCTGAAGATGGGTTTGAGAAAGTGCAGCAGGGTTTAAGGTTTAACGGTTTGGGGTTAACGGTTTAGGCTTTGAAACTTTAGGGTTTAGGATTTAACAGTTTAGAGGGTGGAATCGTGCAGGGTTTAGGGCATTTAGGGTTTAGGGTTTAGGGTGGGAGAGTTTAGGGTTTAGGGTGCAGAGTGGGGAGATAAATAGGGCCACCACTGAGGGATCTTCTTTTAGGTGTCCCCAGAAAAAGGAGGATGGAATTTCGTGGTTTGTATTGGGAGCCCTCATTTATGGAATTCCCCGCCCTAAATCTTAAAGCTGGTGGTAATGGGGAACCACTCTCCCACTCCCTGAAGCAATACCAGGTGCTCCAGAGCCTGATGCGCCCAAGGCCAGCAAGTGCTAGGGCGTAGGGGCTTTGCAGTGTAGAGCCTGATTTAGTGTGAAGGGGCTAGGGATTTTGGGATTTGATTTAGGGTTTGGGTCTAGTTTTGAAACCCTAAACCCTAAACCCTGAGTTCAGGGATTAGGGGTTCATGGTGGGGATTTTAGGTTTAGGGTTTCAGGGTTCGTGGTTAGTTGTAGGGGTTTCAGGGCTTTGCGTGTACGGGTGTAGGGTGTAAAGATGCGACCTCCTCTACAGTCCCTTGAGGGCTTGCAAGGTTCTTTGACATGCAGGGGACTGATTGTTGAACACATTCCTGGATTGGGCTCTACCCTAAACCCTAAACCGTAAACCCTAAACCGCGTTTAGTTATTTCTACGAGGGCAAGCGCTGTCGGAGCGCAGATTAAAACGAGACCAAGCCGGCGGGAGGGCAGCAGTTGGAAGACTAAAACGGGAGAAGTCCGAGGGAGGATAATATAATATAGTAGTTTCCATTTTCTTTTCTATTATCCCTATATAACCCCAATATAACTCTAATATAATCCCTATATAACCCATTATAGTAGTTTCCATTTTCTTTTCCATTATCCCTATACCAGCCCTAAAAAAAAACCCCTATATTCTATCTAACTTAAGGGAGGAATGAGGGCCGGAGGTGCAGAGCAATATTGGGAGGAGGAGGAGAAGGCTAGGCAAGGCTACCCTTGACTTACCGGAAAAGTTCGAGGGAATAGGGGAATATATAGGTGTTTCCCAAAAGTAGGGGTACTTTTTTGGGGGGTCGGCAGGTGGAGAGCAATATCGGGGGAGAGTGAGAGGAAAGGCAGTTGTGGAGAGCGATGTTGAAGGGAGAAGCGGGGGTGGGAGGAAGGGTGTCTCTGGAGAGCCAGTAGGTTAGCACAGTGGCGTGAGCAGCATGCTGGAATAGGATCCCTTCTCTTAGTAGTTTTCTTTGCCCACCCGGATGGTAGCAAAAGCTTCGTGCTTCAGCATCAGGCGTGATGGCTTCAAACGCCAAGCCCTAATCCCAACCACCAAAGTCCTAAACCTCCCAGAGCAATCAGTCAGTTGACCCCGCGATCGCCACACCTCGGAAGTGTGTAATGTATTAGCCTGCAGAATCACCTAAGTCTCTCTTTGTCAGGATCCTTTATATGGCAGATGGGAAGTGGCTCGTACACGATCCCCGAAAATCATCCCTGGCAAACATGCTGTCATACCCCAGAAAGCTTCAAGCTCAAACTCCCGAAAACGCAAAAGATCAGATGGAAGCAGTCCCCGTGCACATAATCCTTCACAGCTTACAGGACGCAGGGGCGTAGTTGGTATGTATCTTCCACATAGAAGTGTTCAAGAGCTTCAACCAAAGAAGTTAGGCTGGTACCGGTAAACTCACCCTAAGTCCCAAACCCCAAACCCTAAACCGCATGGCTGCTGCGGCGGCAGGTTCCCGAAGCGGTGGAAGCCCGCCCTCGTCCTGGCCAGTCACTCAAATCTACCGGCGAAGGGTTGAGAACGTTCTCGCAGTGTAGGGTTTAGGGTGATGTTCCTGTGGATTCTTTGCGCGCATCTTGAAGGGGCAGGGCGACTACACAGGGGTGGGTGTAGGGTGGGTCTGACTGTTGGGGGTGAGGATGAGGTTTATCGTGACGCCCTCTTCTTGTTTCAGTTTCAGCTGCCGTTCAACCCTAAGCCCTAAACTGTAAACCCAAACCGTTAAATCTCAAACAAGGGACAGTTTCTGCAATGCTTTCGGTTCGTGTGTAGCAGGTTGTCGTGCCTGAATGATAGGTACTGTTTCAAAGAAATTGGGGTACGCTCAGGCACTCTACCGATTGATACGGAGACCCCAGGTCTCCGTTTAAGGCGTGTTCATAGGAGTTATTTGAGCTACAGTGTCAAGATTAGAGCAACCAAGGGCCCAGGAAGAAAGACAAGTGGTCATTCATTCTTATAGTTTGGTATAGTCCCTAATGCAGTCCCCAATAAGAAGTCCATGTCCCACTCACTATCCGGGAAATGTTCACTGTAGCTCGTCTCGAAATTCTACGTGGGGTTTCCAGAAATTAAGGATCCCTTTTTGGGGGTCCCAATGCGGAGGGCTACGTACCATATTTTTGAGGTCTGTATTAGATCCTCTTATCTGGGACACCTCCGAAATGAAATCCTGACTGAAGTTCCCTAAACCCTAACCCCAAACTCCAAACCCTATACCCTACAACCCTGAACCCAAACCCCAGATCCCAAATCCTTAATCCCAAAACCCCCAGGCCCAGTCATGTCCAAACTGCCGGCTGCACCAGGATGCCAGGCTATTTGGTAGACTCAGCTGACGGTTCACAGTTTATTATCTAGGGTTTTATGGTGTTTAGGGGCTTAGGGTTTTTAGTACGGATTTCATGGGTTTAGGGTTTTATGGATTTAGGGTGTCAGGGATTGAGGGTTTGGGGTTTTAGAGACTAGGGGTACTAATGGGAAATCAAATGTAAAAAAGAATGGAAAATGAGATGGAAACTAGGCGTCTTTCATGAAATTAGGGATACCTTTTTGGGGCCCATCATAAGGACTATAGTATATTGTATTGGGGTCCCCTATTTTTGGGAAAATTCAGGTGTAGGGTTCAGGGAAGAAGGGAGTC